ACATAACTTGCTCATATATTCCGCCGTCGTCTGAACTTCCTGATTATTTAAATCACCTTTCCGTTTTTAAGTCTGTTGCAAATAAGCTTTCCGATAGGGATCAGTTAGTAGTTCTATGTTATTTTAATATACCTAGCCCACTGAGGATGGATTGAATGTCTTACTACTACTACTAGCACAGCATGATTTTATTGATGGCCTGCTTGACATATCCTTATCTCAAGTAAACCATGTTCGAAATTCACTAGGTCGCCTACTTGATTTGTATTTTTTGTATCAAATCCTGAAGGTGTGTTTTTGTCCAGAGTAGCACCACTACCTGAAGATCCATATCACCCTACAATCGAACTTACATTTGACACGGGTAGAGTTATAGAAGAAAAATCCGAAAAATTAACCAAACGAATACATTGTTTTCGCAAGGAAGACTTTCTGATGCTAAATAATTTTATTTCTGGCTTTAATTGGTCTGATCTTTACTTATGCAAGAATATGTCCGACGCAGTTAATATTTTTTACACTGCAATAAACTCATTTTTTAATTTCTGTGTTCCGTGTTTCCAATAAATCACCTTGGTTTGGGAAAAAGTTGACACACTTAAGAAATGTAAAGTCAAGACTTTTTTAGGACATATAAAAATACCGGTTCTCAATCTGTTTTAACTAGATATTTAAGTGCTCGGTCAAGACCGCGCTTAATGCTCAGTGTTATAATAGTTACTTAAACCGTTTTAAGGTGCAGTTCTCTCACGACCCGAAATAGTTGTATAACTTCGTTAACACCAAGCGTAAATCGAATTCATATCCTTCCTCGCTGTCGTTCGAAAATGACGGCAACCACAGATCAGGCAATAGCCGATTTATTTGCCCAATTTTTTCAAACGACATAATCTACTTTAGATTATTGATCACAGCCTTATTCTTACAGCATATCCAAGTCAAACTTCATATTCTGTCCCACTTTAACAGAAAGTTCTCTTCTTTTCGTTCTTCTCCTTATTAAGCCTGTTTGTTCGCCAGGGACCGATGGTATTCCTGGGTGCGTGCTTAGGTATTGCGCTAAGGCCCTGTGCAAGCCTCTTCACAAGTTGTTTACCTTATCTCTAGAAACTTCCCAATTCCCAAATATTTGGAAGGAATCATTTGTTATTCCTCTTTCCAAAAAAGGTAACAAGTTAGAAGCCAGTAACTATAGAGGTATTTCTAAGTTGCCAGATATTCCTAAGCTTTCTGAAAAAATCATCTGCAACACCTATGTGATCAATCATTTCTCCGTGTCAACACGGATTTATTAAACGTAGATCTCACTACATCTCACTACAATGGATCTCAAGTTATCTGAATGGCAGGTCACAAAGGGTCCTTATTCAAAATTAAATTTCTAAAATTCTTCGTGTTACCTGCGGTGTCCCACAAGGGAGCCATCTGGGTCCGTTAGATTATTTATTAACTTTCTTCCATCAATTATAAGTCATTCTCGCGTACTTATGTACGCAGATGATGTTAAGTTGTGCTTGCAGTATAAGGACATTTCCTGCCATTTAGACTTACAATTCGATCTAGATAATTTTTAAAACTGGTGCCGAGATAATTTACTAAATTTAGACGGTTCCAAGTGCAAGCTGATGACAGCTCCTTGCATAGAATAACTTTTGTAAACGATCTTGGCGTTCTCTTGGACCCTAAACTAAAATTTTATAATCACATTTCGTCCATGGTTAATAAAGTTAGAGGAGTGCTTGGATTTATTAAAAGGTGGTCAAAAGAATTCGATGATCCTTATTTAACTAAAACTTTATTTATTTCGCTAGTCCGTCCGATTCTGGAGTATGAGTCTCCCGTCTTTAGTCCACAACACGGAATACATATTGGTCGTATTGAATCAGGACAAAAAAACTTTCTTCTTTTTGTTTTATGGCGCCTAAACAGGGATGCAAATCTTGACTTACCGTCTTATTTTAGTAGTTGATTAATTTACCCTCCCTAGCCAACCGTAGAACGATGCTTGGTGCAGTCTTCATTTACAACCTCATACATGGAGATTTGACTGCCCCGACTTTTTTTTTTTTAGACATCATGCCCTACCAACTGGATGTTGTTGAAAACTTTAATTCTAATCTCGCCATGACCGGGGCAATGTAGACCAATTGTGTTCTCAATTTATCGTAATAAATAACAAGAACGCCGTTTACATACACTTGCATTTATTACAAAACGACTACTTTTCGATTTCTATGTCTATATTACTAAAAACAAAGAATCTATGTCGATTTTGCGCTCCATTCTGCCATGCTATGCCTGCTATGGCAGCTTTATGATATTGTTGTCTGATTTTGACACAACTAAAAGCGTAATTCTGATATAGTGAATAATTACTATATCTCATAGAAATGTTTTGATAAATAGAAAAAAAGCTAACAAAATTGGTTTTACCGTAGAACGATGCTTGGTGCAGTCTTCATTTATAACCTTATACATGTTGATTTGACTGCACCGACTTGGTAAGTCTGTGCCAAAGAGAATTAACTAGAAATTATATTCCCCTAATATTAAATCATTGTACATAGATCTAACTATGCCTTGCATTAGCCTTTCAGAGTATTATGTTCTAACTATAATAGGCTTATGCGGCTCCTAAAACATTTAATACTAGCTTTATTGGCACAAAATTTATCTTACTGTTACTTTTTCCCCGGACTTTTACAAATATTTTCTTATCTCGCGTCTATCTTCTCGCGAATCGTGCGGGTAAGTAGGCCATGGGACACCTCGCGAAACAAAAAAAAAAATACAATTAGATAGACTAGCAAAGATGTTGATATCACCAAATTATTTTAAAACAAAATATTCTTCACGTTAAATTAGAGAGTATGGGGTAATGCTCAAGGGTGGAGAGCATTACCCCATACTCTCCGGAGGTATTCTTTTTAAAATAATTGATATTTATTAGTATTGTGTTGACAAATTTTCCTAGAAATTACTTAAAAGTAGCCTGCTGACCCCAAAATGACATAAAATTGAAAATAAAGTTCGGATCACCTCCTGAGTTGATATAGCCATGTCCGTCTGTCCGTCTGTCCTTCCGTCTGTCCGTCCGTCCGACCGTTTCTACGCAAACTAGTCCCTCAGTTTTAAAGCTATCTGCTTGAAACTTTCCCAAAAGTTGTCTTTCTTTTGCAGGTAGTATATAAGTCGGAACGAGCCGGATCGGGCGACTATATCATATAGCTGCCATATAACTGAACGATCGGAAAAGCCATAACGTTTGTGTTTTTAAAGTTAGGAAGTTGGGATTTTCTATAAGTTTTATGTTTGGCCAATTAATCCGACCTACCGAATTTCATAAGGATCGGACGACTATATCCTATAGCCGCCATATAACTGATTGATCGGAAATGCCATAACTTGGGTGTTTGTAAAGTTAGGAAGTTGGGATTTTCTATGGGTTTTATTTTTGGCCAATCAATCCGACCTACCAAATTTCATAAGGATCGGCCGACTATATCCTATAGCTTCCATATTACTGAACGATTGGAAATGACATAACTTTGGTGTTTTTAAAGTTAGGAAGTTGGGACATTTTATGAGTATTAAGAATACATCATATGAATAATTTTGAAGAATATAATTTACAGAATATTCTGCAAGGGTATATCAACTTCGGCTCCGTCCGAAGTTAGCTTTCCTTTCTTGTTTTTAATTTTGTTTTTGCACAATGCACCGGTGCACAAAAGCGTAGCAACTACGGATAAAATAAGTGACTTAGGGCTCCAATTGCCACGGCATCCACCTTATTCACCCGATTTGGCCCCTCGGACTATTACCTTTTCCCGAACCTGAAAAGATATTTCATTAATAAAAAATTCAGCTCATCGACGCCGCGGAGGAGTATTTTGCAGACCTTCCGAAAAATTACTTTTCTGATGGGATCAAGAAGTTGGAAAGTCGCTGAAATAAGTGTATCGAGCTAAAAGGGGACTACATTGAATAAAATAAAAAAATTTATTTATAACTAAAACAAATAGTCAGTTTTAAAAATGCTGGACAGTTAATAAAAGCGTAAGAATCTCAAAAAGGAACGCAAAATAAAGAATTGATATCAGTGCGCTATGGGCTGTTATTTTTAGGCCAATAGCTTTTGTACAGAAGCAAACTGAATAGCTGTTTCAGGAAAATAAGGAAAAACTACGAATGCACGGTAATTTCAGTTACGCAGGTCATACAAGAACCAGCCCAATCCATCCAAAGTTCGCATCATCAATATTTTAAGATGCCAGTCTAATAACCGATGTGAGTGCACACGAAAGCTTTCTTTTAAGCAAAAAGAATGGAAACTATGAGACATAACTTGCCTATCGAATAGCCATGTTTGACCCGGAATGATTACACTACAGTGATGACTTCATTATTTCCCGGAGCTCAAAAGACAACTGTATATTGGTATTTTTACAATGTTATTAATAAAAAGGTTAAGGTCACTGTTGCCTTCAAACGTTAAAGTCATTTTAAAGTTAAGCACTAAAAGCGTCCATCATTAAATTCATAAAGGAGTAAACATTGAATCTAACGTTGGAAGCTTTTAATGCTTAAATATGGTGTTTAAAATGCATGCTTTAAAATCACAAATGTTTTGCCGGTTAATATAAAAAGCAGATCAATAAAACTTGCTAACTCCATGTAATTGAGTTGTGTTTGAATATTAAAATTAAAAATCTTGAGTGCAGCATAAGCCCCCCGAGTCGTAAGACGGCGTAAGAGTCTTAAGAAATGTACTACCTTCGTATTTTAATTAGTTTAGTAGGTGTACTAAACAAGATAATCAAAAATTCTGTTATAACCAGTTATCACACAATTTTATTTCCGAACTCCCAGCTGTAAAAGAATACGACAGCTAAATTAACACAACAATGCTGGAAAATCCTAAACCAAATTATAAAAGATCCTGGCTGAAAATGGAATAAAACAACATTCTTGGTAATTTTTTTAATATGTAAACGTACCTTCCGATTAATTCTATCAATTTGACGGTTTTGGTTTTCCAGTTCAGAACCCATATCCAATGCCATGTTACGGAGGTTGCCAATCATTGTGTTTACCTGACCCATATTTTCTTCCATTTCATCCTCTCTAGCATCATTTGTTATCCTAGAAAGAGATTAGTTGTAAAAAATATATGGTTTTTCCCGGAACGTAACAAAAAAGTAAAAAGATACAGTAATTCTGGTCTTAAGTTACTAACATATAAGAGTTATGTTTTATATGAAATGATAGTTCTATCATATTATCCGGAGTTGAAGCATGCAAATGTGGCTATGATCTCAAAGAAAGGTGTTTTTTTCGGACATTGATGCGCTATGATCAGCGCAAGCAAGTTGCCCTTACGACACTAAGCAGCGCTTGTTACGCGCGGAGCCCTATTTCCCAATGGGCGTAAAAAACGAGATCGCGAGAAATGAAAAAGGACAATATAAAAGCGGACAGGCTAAGTTAGAATACATACGAAATTAATACTAATACTAATTTTGTAGTTCCTGGTAATTCTATAAGGCACAGAGAAGTAGCTCGAGACTCTCTACATCCCCGTGAATAAGTTTTTGAATAAATAGAGCCAAAGCATTGAAAAAGGATGGTAGATTAATTAGAAGAAGTCTACTAGAGTAGGATAGTAAAATAAGGCTTGCATTCCAGTTAAGGCCACGTGGAGCAAATAATAAAAAGTTATTTTGCACAGACTCTATCCGGCCTATATGTACACCATACTGAGGACTCCAAACAGCTGAACAGTACTCCAGGATTGGACGGACTAGTGAAATGAATAGAGTCTTTGTAACATAGGGATCATCGAATTCCTTTGAACACCTTTAAATGAATACAAGTACTCCCCTGGCTATATTCACCACGGAAGTAATATACTCACAAAACTTAAGTGTTGGGTCAAGGTGGGCGCCAAGATCATCAACATGCGTGATTCTATACGTGGCACATTGTGGGTTCACCCTAAAAAATGTCATTACTTTACACTTTGCGCTATTTAAATCCAAAAGATTTTCACAACACCATATTTAGGTCCGATTGTAAAGCCTGAACTGCTGGAAATTTCGTTATATTGCAGGCCTAACCTAACTTACATGAGGAAACGCGACTTTGTCAAGAGTAGATAGTGCTGCTGAACAGATGCATCGTGTGGTCAATCATATTTTTGGATGTAAACAAGCCTGTGATCTAGTCTAGGCCTGCGGCTCTCTTCTTCCTTCGCACAGTTCCTGTTGGCAGATCCTTCCAAGTGGATTTTCATGGTTTAAAGTCTACAACGACTCTGTATCCGATATACAAGTCAGACCTTTCTTCGCCTAGAATCAGACATTCTTTAACAGCTATACTGCACTTCTGGCGCCGAGTGCACTGCGAAGGGATTCCACGGCCATGGTGCTGTACATATTAAATAAGTTTAAAGCTTGGGCTTCGATGTGGAATATCTCTGTTAATCCTGCGTAGTCTCAGCATGCCACTTTTTCGCTGAACAGGCTTATCACATATCGCCTCATACTGGACGGGGTTCCCATCAAGCCCTCTGCCACGGCTAGGAGTCTTGGGCTTACCCTAGACAGGCTACTTACCTGGTAACAGCATATTGGGCCTGCCTGTGCTTTCACTCGGCAAAAAGCTCGGAAGATGAGATGGCTCACTGCGAAATCGATGCTTTTTAAGGCTTTTCACGCCTTCCTTTTTTGGGGAATCCAGTTTTTGGACACTGCCTGTAACCCCTCCATAAAACTAATTGAACTAGGCCAAGCCAAAATTTTAAGACATGATAGTCGCCCCCCACTATGCACAAGATCTCAAAATTAATCCTGACACTATACAGACCTATGGACAGAAGAAGACTAAACTACACCCATCTGACAATTGGATCTGACTATTGGGAGACTCATTCCTGATTCATAGTCGGAAACATTGACCAATATTGTAAGTGGCCTTTTTTTTATAAGCTACACATCAAAGCATGAAGGTGAATTGAATTTTACAAAGCACAATATTATTAAAACCATTGGTTCTTGCGTATTAAGAAATAAGAATTGTTTTAGCGATTTTGGGAACAAAACAATTCAAAATTTCATCTTCTCATCCATCGAATGTTAAACCAACTAATTGTAAATAGTTATTATCGCTGTGTAATAGCAGAACCGGGCAACCTTTGTACGAGAAACATAATAACAGACAAGACATTACATTTTTTGTAGGGCCCAAACACCGGAAAATTTGAAATTGAAATGACTAAATTAAAAAATGTTAGCAGTTGCGCAGTTGCCGCATGATGCCATTGCTTTCAGGAATTTGAGGAAACCATTTAAAGTGTTTACAAATTACTTTCCATTACCGATAGGAATGCACTACAACTTCCTTAAAATCTATAAGCTTTGATAAAGTATTGAGTCTACCTATCAAAAAGCAAGCAAAAATACCGTGAAAATAAATATTATGTGCCTTTGTGGTATTCCTTTATCTTCAAGTTAAATTAAAAAATAATCCAAATTTAAATTAATCAACAACAAAATCAAATCAAAATCTTTCAGAACTTAAATAGCTAGCTCTGGTTTTACAGATGTTTTAACGGATTTCCATTTCCATGTTGTCTTTAAATATCCACTAACCGTTCTGAATAATTTTGGTGTGATACTTTTTAGCTCAGTACAAACGTTTATTGATCTGTTTAAACCTTGACCACTTCTATTCCGTCTCCCGCAAATCAAATTATCGCAGTGCTCAAGAGTTGTAGTCATTTTTCTTTGCGGCACATCTGGCTCCTAGCTTCGCTATCCACTTTGAGCGAACAAAGCTATCCTTTCAAAAATTCTGGACGCTAAACCGTTTAACCAATCGAATCCATGTTTTCGCCCAAAAATAGTTTAAGACATTATAAATGGTTAAAAAATTTGACCGCTTAGATTTAAGCCTTTTTATAATTTTTAACACCCGTTCTAAAATTACAATTTAGCCAAAAATATCTTTAAACGTCGAAAAATGGCACTTCTAAACTGAATATCAAAAATTCCTTCGGTAAAGTTTTTCCTTAAGCTTTACGATTCATTTGATGGTTTCACCAAAGCTCTATCTATCTTCTAAACAAAGAAACTAAGCAAAAAGTCGATCTATTATCAAATTTAAGTGCTATTTACAGTTATTGCTGCCAGAATACGCAAAAGACGTTTTTTTGGCGAAAATCTATTTGGCCCGGTTTTTGATAGTGTAGTAAAAATATACCATTCGAATTGTTTTTTGCGGTGTTTATTTTTACAGTGTTTTGCCACGGGCTGTTAGGAAACATAAGAGCGGGAGATCTCAGTAGATAGAGAGAGAGGAAAGAGTGTAGCAAGTGCGCCAAAGAAGAAGTTAACGGGGAGACATTCAATTTGGTCAGAGTCGTATCAAGAAAATTTCTTTGCATAACCGTGTATTTTGGTGTATAACCGTATGTGAGCAATAATATTATTATATTAGTTCGCCTTTTAATTTTTTCTATAGAATGTGCAAATTTGTTGATATTTTTGATGTTAACTTAAAAATTTAGTGAGTTATGCCAGTTAGTTTCGTTTTTTACTAGTCTTAATTAGTAAAGTCATAAATGATTTACATTTAAATGAATATTTTGTTATTTATTAATTATGCGCAGTTGTGATATACCAATAAGCATACTTGTTATTCGATACAAACATTGCAAAAATTGCATTATTTAAAAAATATTGTCTTAATATTTAAGAGTTTCCTGTATGGAGACAGGTATAATGCAAACATAAGACATCGCAAGCGAAGCTGCGGGCACCCTGCCAGTATATATATAAAAAGAATATCATCGTTTGGTTTTTTTTTAGATATAGAGATATAACATAATAGGAGTTCACTGTACTTTAGAAGACTTTCTAGAATTCAGAAACCACTCAAAGATAATTTTATAAATAAATTTGTATACACAAAAACATTTGTCCAAGATGTCGAAAACGTTGAAGACAGATCTCTCATAATCACAGAAACTCATTGCAGAACTCATTATAAACAAATAACTAGACTTTATTATTGGCCTTAAGAGGTTATCCGGGTCTTGAAGCACGAAAAAAGCCTATTTCAGCCCAAATTGCCTGTTGTGACTCATTCGACGCGCTGGGCTTTAAATTTCTAACATTCCTGGTTTTGCTTCGATCGACTTGAAATTTTCGGACAACATTCCTGACACTTTGTACTATTATATAAAAAGTTTGAAAAAAATTAATTTTTTGAAGTGTCAAGACCCGGAGAACCCCTCATCATTGGCACAAAATTTATCTTACTATAACTTTTTTTCCCGGACTTTTACCTATATTTCCTTATCTCGCGTCTATCTTTTCGCGAATCGTGCCGTACGATATACGGCTGCGCCCCTCGGTCGGTTGGGCGGGTAAGTGGGCCGTGGGCGAAAAACAAAAGAAAAAAAAAACTGTTGCAACTACAACCGCAATTTTTTATTGCATAAGGACAAAAGCGTCGCACCAAGCTCTTCTCTTGAGATGCCAAGAAATCTTAATAAACACGAAACTAAACCAGATACTAATTGTAATGTTAATTTTGGTGGTAACAATGTTCTACTTAAAGTTATTCCAGTTATACTGATAGGCCCTCAAAAACAAATTGGCACATACGCCCTACTTGACGAAGCTTCGACAATTTCGTTAATAGATGAGCAGGTTGCAAGTGATATAGGACTACAGGGACCGACATGTCCCTTGAAGATGCAATGGACTAATGACTAAGTGTATGAACAAGTGTATTTAAAAGTAGTTAGTTTGGGAATCAGAGGAATGCAGGAAATTGTTGATAAGCCGCTAAAACGAGTGAATGACAGATTTCAATGTGGACTTTTTTGGAAAAGCGACGACACACAACTACCGGAATGTTATAATAGGGCATATGCTCGGATGCTATTATGCAAATTAAAAATAGACAAAAACCCAGAATACGGAAAAAAGTATAATGATGTTATTGAGTCATACCACTAACCATACAACATATAGACTGGTCATTTCATACAACGAAAATGGTCACAAAAGTTTCAAAGCGGGAGGCCCCGGACACTTCATTGCCTTCGGGTTTTTTTCGCTCTCGTTCTAATACTT